ATGCAACAAGGAGAAGATGAACAATGATTCCAACAAAATGAGGCCACCTTTAAAAGATTGGAAGTACATTTAGAGCAAATTGCTAAATTTTTGCAAGGGCATGTGCCAGGTAAGTTACCTAGTCAACCTGAGGAAACTGAGGCTATAGGAAGTGGTGATATCAATGAAAACAAGTTAGAAGATAATACCATTTCAAAACATATTGAAAAATTGAATAATGATGTTGATGATATTATTGTTGAAAATGATGAACCTCAATTTCATAAATCTGATAATCCTTATGTGCCTCCCAAGCTCTCTGTGCCCCCAATCCCTATTGATGATCAAGCAGACAAATTGACCAAAAATGTGTTTGATGAAACTGTTGAGTTCCCAATTTTTACATCTATGAATTTGTCTGATAGATTTAACAAAGTTTTTGCAGTTAAGGGGTTGAATTTTACCGAAGATGGTAAGTTGGAGTTTGATAAAATCCAAAAAGAAAGTCTTTTGAATGGCGTTGATAAATTGGTTTCTTCTTGTTATTCTCACACTGCATGACTATATGAGAATTCTACAAATAAAAAATCTAACAAGGAAGGACCCTCTTCATCTTCTTTTCTTTCCTCTCACAACATTGGGGACAATGTTGAAAATAAGTATGGGGAAGGGGTTCTACCCACAAATCACAAAAAATTAAAAAATTTCAAATTTTTTAATTTTCTTAAACCTATTTATTTTAAAATTCTAGCATGAGTTTGAGCTTTATCTTTATAGTCTTTTAAATACTAATTGATAGAAATAATGCAGGTTTTTGACAGCTCTTAGTATGTATATTGCATGTGGCTAGTTGTTAATTTCTTTATTTTTATATTTTGAATAACTTTGTCAAAAACAAAAAACAAAAAAATCAAAAATAGACAAAAACAAAAAAATATCATAAATAGAATTTGCAAAATCACAAATACCCTTATATGTTTTATGCATTTTCTTCAATGGTTTATATGTTGATTTCACTTTATATAACCTTTTTCAAATTCTTAAATAATTCTTGAGTGCTATAAATTGTGGTGTAATGTGTTGGTTCAAGGATCACTTTGTGGCATAAGTGAGGTGAAATGAAAAAAAAAATATTTAAAAAATAAAATAAATGAGAGTGTTTTATTTATTTTATTTTATTTACAATATTTTAGATATTCTACTTCGCTGAATCAACCACCTACACATGTACCATAAATATATATATAAAAATAAGTGTTGTGGTCTGGTTTATGAGTACACACAAAATTGAAAACTCAAACATGCCTGGCATAAAATGGCGAGATTTTTTGGGAAAGTTCTCTTTGGAAAAAGTCATAAACAGAAACATAATGAGTGAACTTTAGAAGAGACGAGCATTTGCATTTTATTTTTAATAAATGCCTTGATCCTTGTTTCCTCCATGCATTGTGATAGAATATTTCTGAATTTGATTTAGGTTGAATTTGGTGAGTCTTCTCCTAGTTTTAATTCTTTCTTCTTCAATTACCATTCACTTTGATAATCACTCAAATTGTAGTTTGTGGAGTTGTATGCTACGTGGATACTAATTGAGTGTAATGTCCACTAAGCCATTTGTTTTACTCTATTTACTTTAGGTTGCTAAGTTTTATTATATTTGTTTTATTAAATTACTTTAATCGTCATTATATTTGCTTTATTAAATTGCTTTTATCTGCTAAGCTTTATTATAATTGATTTTAAGGGTTGATATTTAAATGATTGGTAGTATTAGGCATAGAGTGCAGAATTAGTAGTGGTATTGAATTCATGTTTTTAGATTTTTGTCATTCTGTTACATATCAAGTTGTCTGTGATTTCCCTTTGTTCCTAGTTTTTGATTATTTAGTTTTTCTAAGTTCTCTGCCTACTTTTGATTTAATCAGACTTCTTGGTAAACTCTTTAATTTATTCCTTCCAATTATTTTCAAATTAATTAAATTGCATCGTTACAATTTCCTGCAGGATAGACCCTTGCTTTGCACATTATCACTACAATTGATACGTGCACTTGCGAGGACATAATTAAAATTGTCCATCAATTTTTGGCGCCGTTGCCTGGCCGAAGAAGGCTCCAATATCTCCTTTTTTGTTCGGTCAGGATTTCCTTTTCCGCTTTGCATTGTTGGCCGGCTTTAATTTGTTGAAAGAGTTTCCACAACAAATAATAACTCTTCTTTTTGTGTTTTTTTTTACTTACATAACCCACATTAAAACTCAAAATAAAAATAACTTGTTAATACTAACCTAACTACGTACTACATTATAATTCTAGTTATTTATAATTATTAGATAAATATAAAATAAATAATAATTTAATATGATTATGCATAAAAGTATAACTAATTAATAAAAATTATTAATCCAACCATCATAAAATAAAGTATAAAATTACACTCATCAGCCATGACGAACTCCAAAACAGCAAGTCCCCCAGTGGGCGAGGTTGACTGCCTGCGAGCCCCCGATAGACAAAACGAACTCCAAAAAATAGCCAAGTCCTTCAGTGGAGCCCTTGAGAGGCAAGACGAACTCCAAAAACAACCAAGTCCCTTAATGGGTGAGGTTGTCTGCCTGCGAGCCCCCAAGAGACAAAACGAACTCCCAAAAATAGCCAAGTCCCTCAGTGGGAGAGGCTGACTGCCTGCGAGCCCCGAGAGACAAAACGAACTACAAAAAATAGCCAAGTCCCTCAGCGGGCAAGGCTGACTGCCTGCGAGCCCTCGAGAGACATAACGACCTCCAAAAAAGTGGGTAATGTTGACTGCCTGCCAGCCCCTGAGAGACAAAACGAACTCCAAAAAATAGTCAAGTCCCTCAGTGGTCGAGGCTGACTGACTGCGAGCCCCCGAGAGACATGATGAACTCCAAAAACTGCCAAGTCCCTCAGTGACTTGCTCGCGGCGTGATTACATGCCCAAACTTCCTGCCTGAGAATGTTGCTTAAAAAGGCGCAGTCAGTCGTCCTCGTTAGGAAGGGTGATAGGTTTTCCTAACTTGTTTGCGGTGTGGCCGCTCACCCAAACTTCATGCCTAAGAAGGCCGCCTGAAAAGGCGCAGTCAGCCTTCCTCGCTGGGAGGGGTGACATCTTCCAAACTTGCCCGTGGCGTGACCGCACACCCAAACTTCATGCCTGAGAAGGCCGCCTGAAAAGGCGCAGTCAGCCATCCTCGCTGGGAGAGGAGACGTCTAAATAGACCCGATTGATTACAACCAGCATCATAACGAACTAATCCGAACTTTATTGCTAAATGACTAGGTAACAAGCAACTAGTAAAGCTTTTGGCCAGTAAGGACTTATAACAAATTATTTTGAAATGAAACGAAGGCTAACTAACTATTGATAGATCTTATTCAAATGGTGAGCGTTTGAAGTGCGCTCCACTGGCTCGCCCTCTGTGGTCTCCAGTCGATAGGTTCCTGGGTAAACTTCTTCCGCTATTTTGTAAGGTCATTCCCACTTTATCGTCATTTTCCCTCCTTCGATTGGCCGACTGGCACTCCAATTGCGTAAGACCAGATAGCCTACTTGGTGATATCGTACCCGGGCCCTCTTGTCCTGGTAGCGCTTGACCGCTTGTTGGAATTTGGCCATTCGAGCATAAGTTGCATCACTCCTTTCCTCCAGGAAATTCTTTTCGATTTGCAGTGTTTCCTCATTGCCTTCATCATTGTATAATAGTATTCGCCAACTGGGTACTTGAATCTCAGTTGGGACCTTTGCCTCAAACCCGTATGCTAGCGAGAAGGGGATTTTAGTAGTTGCTCTACGGGGAGTCGTCCGATATGCCCATAAGACTTCTTCCAGTTGCTCGACCCAAGTACCCCCAAGCTCCTCTAACATTTTCCCCAAACCATCCAAGAGGGTAAGATTTAAGTTCTCTACTTGTCTATTTGGCTAGGGGTAAGCCATAGACACTTAGATATGTTGGATCCCATGTTGGACGCAAAACGTTGCGAATGCTCGGTTGTCAACTGCCTCCCATTGTTCGTGACCAACTGCTCAGGCAGCCCGAACCTACAAATAATATTTTTCCAAACGAAACGTTGGCATTGGTACTTTGTGATGGTGGCCAAGGGTTCGACTTCGGCCCACTTGGTGAAGTAATCCACGGCTGCTATGCAGAAACGCACCTGGCCGGGGGCTTGGGGAAACGACCCAAGTAAATTGACTCCCCACTTGGCAAAGGGGATCGCCGTCGTGACCGGGGTATAAAAGGTGGCTTGTTGGGTATCCCTTTTTGCAAACGACTGATAGGTCGGGCATCTCATTACTTCCTCCACGCAGTCTTTCACCATAGTCGGCCAGTAATAACCTTGAATAATGAGCTTTCGAGCCAACGTGTTGGCACCTTGGTGTGCTACGTAGATCCCTCAATGAGCCTCTATCATGACAATCTTAGCCTCATCGGGAGGCAAACAATGCAACAATGGTCCTCCGAAGGATCGTTTGTATAACTGGCCATGCATTATCTTGTGGGACTAGGCCCTTCTACGCATGCGGTCGGCGTCTTCCTTCTTGTCAGGCAGCTCGGACTCCTGCTTATAACTGATGATATTCGCAATCCAAAACCACTCGGGCTGGGTTTTGGGATCTGGATGGGGGGGGGGGGGGTAGGCATCCGGGTGATTGCACAGACCAGCAACGCCTCAGTGCTCGGCCTTTGGAGGAGGTTATCCTTGATCCATTCCCTATTTACATTCCTTATCGTTAATCCATTATTTAGTTATTTTATCATTGTTATCACTATGATTTATTCCTGAGTTGATTGCTTGGATTCTCATGCATTGATCTCATATTTCGGTGCTTAGAGAATTGATTATTACACAAGTATTTGCCTAACTCCCAATCCTCAGTGGAACAACAAAACCCGTAGTACTTATTATTATTTTTGACAACAATTAGTCAGCGTCTGTTGTGACTTCATCAACCTTATGGGGTATTGAAGCAAACGTAGAAGACGAGGGAGTTGCAGCAATCGATTGAGCCTAACTAGTCAAGATCTTTGATTCCTAAGACATTTAATTGGCCCATACTATTTGCCTCTTCAACCGATTCCATAACAATAAGTGGTGACTCCTGCTTAATAATAACAATTGTTGGTTTTACGGCTTAGGGCAGTCGTTCGGCGGGCCAACACTACCGTAAAATACTAGGTTAAAAGGAATAAAGTATTTGAGAACAAAGGGGCAGAGTAACCACCCTCGAGTCAAGAGCTCGCTTTCAATCTCAAAGAGCCGATTCTATGGCATCTTCGGTTAATAACTTGAATTCCATACTCGTTACAAGATGAAGCCGAGAGGGTATTTATACAAGGAGTTAGATCCTCTATAAGGCAAGAAGAAGGAAAATAACTAAAATTATGCATTGGAAACTACCAAGACCGGCGCATTAATTGCCTAAAATAAGAAAAGGAAACTACTTGCCGCCCAAGGAAAGAATCTCAACGGAATTCAACCTTAACTGCCTCTGGGACGCGCACTCGATCGGGGACACGCTGACTACCCAGCCTGGTCGCCCATCCGGGACAACTAGTAGCCCGGTCGGCAACACACCAATTGCGGAGCCTGGTCGCCCGGGTGCCCATGCCATTCGTTGCTTGTGAAGGAGGCCTCTTCCCTTGAACTGCTAAGCGTCCCAAGTAATCAGGACTGACTACCTCTGTTCTTCCAGGCTGAGTGCCCGATTGGGGCTATCTATCAACAATGTTTCTAATTCAAACCCCTCTGTTCTATCAAATGCAAAAAGTTTAGTACAATTGCAATTTCATATAAACCAGATTTTAGGATTGATTCCTCTAGAGTTGGAGATTTTGTAGAGTCGTCAAGTTTTTTTTTTTTGGTTGCGCGAATCAGATTGAAGGTAGCTAGTGTGTGGCTCCCTTTAGCTTAGTGTTCTCCCGGATATAAGTGGAAGAGATACGATGATCATATGATTTTGCCCTTCTCTATCAATTATTTTGGTATGTTTTTAGCATTCAATTTTTGCAAGTAATGTATATTCATTATTCTGACGCTATTCATGATTGCAACTCATAAAACAAAACCAGCACCTTTAAATCTAATATAATTATGAAATTGAAACAACAATCACCTGAAAATAACAATAATATTGTTGACCTATTTTAGATTCAAATATGTTCATTTTGCAAACTAGCACTAGTAACCCAATTGCGCATAAGACACTACCAACAAAAAAAGCGGGCAAGCAATGAAGACAAAGACAATGACAAACATATCCAACAGCGAATTAACAAAACTTAGAGCAATTCAAACCAAAAGTAGCATCTACTACTTAATATCATACCAACTACAATAAGTATTTGGATAATTGTTTTTAGAAAAGTGTAAACATTAATTTTTAATGCCAACTATAATGAACTTCTCCTATATAATCTTGCATTGATATACTTTGAATTATTTATTTAAATATAAAAGTTAGGCATTAAATTAGTCGCGCAATGCGCATGTAAAAAACTAGTTTTATTATAATCTTGTTGTATTCTATATTGCAATTATAAGTTTAATTTTGGAACAAGCAAAATAATGTTAAGATTGGATTTTTATTTTAGACAACATTGTTGAAGCTAAATTAGAATAGAATAAAAAATAAATGTAAAAGAAATGCACATTTAATTTTAGAATATGGAAATATAAGGAGAATTACTCTAAATACAAAATACTAGATAGGGAGCATAACTACGTAGAAACATACTAGATAATATTATACAACAACTTAGATTATAATTAAAAAGAAAAAAAAATAAGAAGAACAAATAGAATGCAATTATCAAGAATGACATACTCCAAGGATAAATTCTTGCAACATAACATTAATCCAAGACTAATCATATGGTGTCAAAGTCTTGAAGTTGAAAAGGATGCCTTAATTCATCTTACATAGAAGGAACATTACATAAACATATTGGAGTTCATAATGTAAAGAAAAATATTATCTCCCAAATTCTTGATTCTATATCAACTGCACATCTAAATGGAGTTAGAGCATCACTAACATGAATGGATTTTAACAGGGTATTGTCATGTCACATAGTGTGGTCTTGGTGAGGGTTAGGTACAAGTCTAGAGGGGGATGGATAGACTTGTACGGTCTCTTTTTTTTTTTTCAAAAAACTTTCTTTAACATCTCCCAATCAGGATGAAAATTGATTTCCTTGCTCCACCTCTTGGCTATTTTACTTGAATTCATCATTGTATTATCAAAAGTCCATGAACATCCTTCATGCTTTTCCTCCATCCTTAAAATCCTCCATGACAAAGAGTTTATTACTTTTCTAAGACTTATTCTGAAAGGACACCCCTCTTGTTTACATTCTACAATAAATCTAGATTTGTCATTCTTCACAAACTTTAGATCTTTTCCATTTTTAATGGCATAGTTATGAACAGTATTTTTAAATTCTTGCTTAAAGGCAAATGTCATTCCTAGAGTGAATTTAGGATCATTCATATCTGTACTTGCCCTAAAGTTAGTCCATAATCCACCACTTATCGCACCATCACTATCTGATTCCATAATTGAAGCATCATCAGAAAAGTTGTGGTCAAATATATCACTTTGCAAAGCCTTACTGCCCACCTCATTTTCTAAGTTATTCATTAAACCACTATCTTCAACTCCATAATCTATATGTTCATCAAACTCTATGTCATCCCTATTTTGAATATTCTCATCATCACCACTTAGTTTATTATACTCACTATCACTGCCATATCCAGCATTTTCACCCACAGATATTTACAAGAAAAAATCAAATCAAATTGTAACACAGATTCAAAGCAGTGATTTCTAAGCTAAATTTAAAGCAGTGATGGGTCCAAACTAAATTCACCCACAGATATTTACAAAGTATGCATTTTTTTTAGAGACAAAGTATGCATTTTAATACTTTGATTTTTGGATTACTTCCATGTCCCTTTTGCAGGTAAAATTTGACTCATCAGAATCAAATCATACAAACTGGAGGAGTTTTCCTACACACCTATGGACTGGCATAATCACATAAGCATTTCCCAAGAAGAACATTTTTAAGTTACCTACATCAGTTAATACCTAATGTTTTAGTTTAGTGAAATGAAATGATTGTTTAGATACTTCAGACATTCAGGAGAGTTTAGTTATTCATTATGTACTCAATGTTCTAATCAATTGGCACTCTAACTAATAATACACATAAATATTCATCACATAATGGTAGCACTCAAAAAATAAATAATTGAGAAGTATAAACTGAAACTTACCTATTGAATAATGGAAGTTGAATCATCAAACTCAGGAAGGGAGCATGTGTATAATTCTTCATCTCTCCATGATCTGTATCATCATCAACATTATAAAGGATTCAGTTCAAAATTCTACCTGAATTGCTCCCTAAAGAACAAAAATTACAGATCAATAGACAGTCCATGGAAACTGATTTGCTGTTACCATTTACTGTCTGAACATGGCAACTGAAATTTAAGATCATTTAGAACAAATACAAATAGAAATACAAGGCATCAGATTATTATTCTCTTCATCTGCCTTGTGAGAATTTATGAACACAAATGTTCAAGTAATAATCTTGCATGTTCAATACAACTAAATATTACATACTTAAACAAATTTAGTATCGTATTTCAACAAATAACATGGTCAATTATTCAACTTAAATTGCAAAAAAATATACATGCACGACAAAAAAATTTACCAGATCAACTGATTTAATATTTTAGCTAAATATTTTATTGTAAATTTTAGGTAATAGAATACTTATCTTCATTTCTTCGAACTCGTTTTCAGCTTCAAAACCCTTCTGCGTTTTTACACATATGTCGGATGTGTATTTATCTACAAATTACATGAAGAAATGAATTTGGGTTTCTCGGAAAATAGTTAAAATTACTTTTATATATTGTAAAATAAAACAAATTACCTGAAAGTGTAGGATCTTTCATGCGCTGCCATTGAAGACCATATTATCGTAGAAGGGTTTGAATCAGTTGTGTACTGGGTTTAAGAGGTTGAAATGATGGAATTGCAAGCATATTTGTATTATTTTGGGTCATGCGTAGCTTGGATTGGGATTTGTGGTGAAAGAATTTGCTTGGTTTCCATTTCTGTTGAGGGCGAGAGTTTTTAGACAGACAGGCGAAGAAGACGATGGGAAATGGGGGAGGGGAATTTGGGTTAAGATGGGTGAGTTTGGGTTTTATATGGGGAGTGGTTGGGTCGGGTATGGGCTGTAGTTTTGGGCTCTATATGTGTAATATATAAATGATTTAATTGGGCTGCTTGGCTGGTTTAGTTAAAAGAAAGAGTAAATACCCAAAATGGTCTTTCGACTATAGCTAAATTCACAAATTGATCCTCAACTTTTAATTTCAACCAATTAAGTCCTTAACTTTATAATTTTAACACAATTTGATCCTCTGTCTATTTGACCGTTTGTTGACTGTGATTTTTTAGGATATATATGTAATTTCATGGTCCATCGTTGGTTTTTTAAGGTACCGGTTGCATTTTCAGACCGCACTGTTACATTCGAATCCACTGCCGTAAGCAATCTACCAAATATAGTCGCCTTTCTTCATCCTCCCTTTGGATTCAATGTAGTAGAGTTCGTACCAGAGCGAAGAAGACGATGTGTTTCCGAACCGGTACAACGTCATCCTGGAGGCCTCCACGTGCTCCGACGAGAGCTGAAGGTTCTTCTAGAGATCGTTGATCACGATCAACAAATGGTCAAATAGATGGAGGGCCAAATCGTGTCAAAATTGCAAAGTTAAGGACTTAATTGGTTGAAATTGAAAGTCGAGGACCAATTTGTGAATTTAGCTATAGTCGAGGGACCATTTTAGGTATTTACTCTAAAAGAAATATATATATATATATATATATATATATATATATATATATATATATATATATATATATATATAATTAAGTTAAAATGCTTTTAAGTGTTTTTGCGTGGTTGTGCGATTTTAACGTGCGTCAATTTTGTATTTTGGGTGCGTGAGTTTTGTTCTTAACATGCGTGAGTTTTGTGTTTAACGTGTGTGGTTTTGTGCTTAATGTGAGTAGTTGTTGAAACTTAAAAGGTGCGTGTGTTTTGTGCTTAAGGTGCGTGAGGCTTGTGCTTAACATGCGTGAGTTTTGTGCTTAACGTGCGTGGGTTTGTGTTCTGAAGATATTTTGTTTGTGTGCTTAATGTGCGTGTGTTGTGTACTTAAAATGCGTCAGTTAATACTTAATGTGCGTCCAACCGCACGGGAATCCCCCTCCCGCACCTGATCTCTTCCCTATTATATATTTAATAATAATTTCTTAACCTAATATTATAACGTATATTATATATATATATATATATATATATATATATATATATATATATATATATATATACCAGGACTATGTGGTCCAATGGTACCCGGGTTGGACTTTCATAAAAAATAAATATATATATATATATATATATATATATATATATATATATAATATACGTTATAATATTAGGTTAAGAAATTATTATTAAATATTTATTTTTTACTGTTTTTTTTTTTTTGCAAAATTTATATTTTATCTTATTGAATTGAGTTATAATATTACACCTATTGTGCAACTTTTAATAATTATTTAAACCATTGTGTTGTTTTTTTTTCCTTTTTCTTATTCATTGAAGTAATAAATATATAGTTAGAATATTTTAAGATGTGTTCAAATAAATACATGGATACTAAATAATAAATTATAATTCAGAATAAAAAAATAATGACTTAAAAGTTATAAATTATTATTTTTATTTAATATGTGTTTATGATTACTTAATTCTTTTCCGGCTAATTTTTAATATAGAAAATATTGGTGAAGTTTTATGCAATGAAATTTATCATTAAGAAAATGATCAAGCGTCACAAATTAAAAATGTAAATATTGATTGGATTTTTTGAGGATTTACTTAGTAGGCTACTTCGTAGCTGGGCAACTATTGGTTAGAGTTTTGGTACATGGCAACTATATGTTGCTTTTTTCTAGAGTTAATAGTCCATGTTTCGTAGTGGTGAGACTCATCTTAACTATCTTCAGAACTGTGCTATATTGGCTCCAACTCTGGATGTGGTAGGTAGCATAAACGATTATATGAATGATAAGAATCATACTGAGGGTAGGATGTATTTGAGTTGTGATTCGGTTTGTAAATCTGATGCAATTGGAGACATGCTATCTTATTTTCACACCCCATGGTTCTTAAATGGTTTACGTTGTTCTGGAGTCCTGAATCATGCTTTGACTATAAAAGTTGTGTCACTTGTGGTGCTATTGAGAAATATAGACCACTCATTAAGACTACGTAATGGTACAATGCTAATTGTTACAAGGTTGGTTGGTCATGTTTTGGAAGCTCAAATCATGTGTGGAACGAATACAGGAACAAATGTTTTAATATATTCCTCGAATGTCGTTAACACCTTCTGATTCAAGATTACATTTCAAGTTCCAAAGAAATCAATTTCCTTTGATGCTATCATATGACATGACAGTAAATAAATGTCAAGGACACTATCACACGTGGGTTTGTTTTTTAGAATAACGATCTTTAATCATGGTCAAATGTATGTAGCAGTCTCAAGTAAGTAATCCTAGGGGATTAAAATTTTTTATATGTGGGGATAATGTATCATTTGTAAATACGACTAAAAATGTTGTATACAAAGAAATTTTCAATAATGTGTAATACAATTGCAATGTTGATTGTTTTTTCAATAATTATTTCATATACTATTCTATTGTTTTTTTTTTTACACTATTGCTTTTGTCTATATCATATGTCCGTGCATCGCACGGGTGCAACTACTAGTAAAATAAACAAATGCAAAAACAAAAATGGTCCCCACAGAATATGCATAAAGTATATACAGAAATGGCCTTCACATTTGCAAATGAAATAAACAAATGAAAAAGCAAAAATGGTCCCCATATGGTCAAACTGGATCCCAACTAAACCTTAATTTATACAGCAATGGGTCCAAGCTAAACCCTAAAATATATACAGCCATGGGTCCCAACGAAACCCTGATATATACTAAAGTATTCAAGTTTATCAATATGCTTCCCTAACTGCATACAAACACCCTCAACATTCCAAAAAAGCAAAGAATTTAACTTTTTGTCTGTGTACTTACCATGTGTTGCCCAATCCGATGAAGAACAGCTTCGCTGATGAGAAGCCATATCCACCGCATCAACGAACGATTTTACAACTTGCTTTCACAATCCCTTTACGCGTCCAACACTGAATGTTCACAATGATGGATTTTGGTGCTCCGCGCTGAATTTAAGAGAGACACTACATAAGTCAATTACGGTAGTGTTTTTGTTCTTCTCTCTTTGCAGACATTCGAGCAAAGAAGTGTCAATAAAAGAAAGCATATATTTAATTATTTTACATGGGTTAAATGTAACACCCCCGATTTCCAGGTCATTTTAAACTTAAACATGCAGATAATCTAACCATAATATAAGCATACACAGTAGAAGTCTTAACTATATAAAAGCTGGAAAACTAAGAGTGTTATGCCACATACACACTAAGGTGAACGCACAAGCGAAAACAACATCCACATCATCAGTCTAAAGGAACAAGGTCAAACCATACACAAGTCTAAAATCCAACATAGAAGGCACACAGGCCTAAAATAAACTACAAAGCCTGAGGGATCTATACTATCCATTACTAGATCGCGCTCGCCACTACTTGGAACCTGAAAAGCACATAGATAAATGGGACGACGCCCGGTCAACGAATAATGATGGTAACCCACAAATACATGTCAATAACATATATAGATAGACAGTTCATTTGCAAAATCATTTCGAAACGGAATACTGTATATATAAGTTTCAAAGCCAAGGATAGAAGTCAACCACAAGACTCTACACCACTCTCAATAAGAATAAGGGAACACATCCCAATACAACAAGAAGTAAACAACGTCAACACAAGAAAGACTCAAGGTGTATTCTACCATCACTTAGCAGAATATCACCCGACATACTCAACACAAGAGAATAAGACACATATTGGCAACACATGCCTTCGCGACATCACTCATCACGAATAGAGAATTACACAATGGCAACACTTGCCTTCGTGACATCACCCATCACGAATTGATATGCCTTCCTTATGCCCGGTTCCAACCTTATGGCTACCCCCAACCTTATAGCTAGTTCCAACCTTTACCTCCAAGACCCCTGTACTTCTGAGTCCAACATTTTCCCTCCTGGGACCGTCGTCCCCCACCAACGACCACCAAAAATTCCACCAATTCATAGTACACGAGGGTACCGATCACACACTTTGGCAACACATGCCTCCCAAGAAAACGTGAACCCATCACTCAGGTCACAAACTACATAATCGCGTCATGGCCACCACGAGGACCACTGCCGTACCTTGGTGACTAATGTCCCATACCATTAATCGTGCAATCCAGGTACAGCCACACACACAGCACCATCATAAGAATCAATCAACGGATCACAACGAAGATATGAAACTATACTCAACAAGAGAATTAAGGATCACAATTTGACCACAACGATGAATAACACAAGTCATCATCCACAATAAGAAAGAACAAACCACACACGCTAGCATTTAGACACCAAACTAGCATGCTTACCAAATGGGTAAACTAAACATAGTTCCAAAGAACACACAAGACTCATCGTGGTTCAACGAATCACAAGGTTGAACACTTAGCACGATTCAAGACACCAAAACCTACATGGAATCCTACCATATAGTTCTAGACATACGAAACATCAAGAAGACACTCAAATAGTTCCACAAAAGAACATCGGGAAGTCAAAACATCAAATACCGAGTCAAAAGAATCACGGGGAACAAATCCTCGCACAAGCCAACATTGTACCCCGCGTGTGGGGCCACGGGTGGACCCCCACCCGTGGTTCCGCCCGCGGGAACACACTCCCACACACCAACGTACCCTGCGGGTGGGGCGGCGGGTGGACCCCTACCCGCCGTTCCGCCCGCGGGTATAACCTCTGTACCAAAAAGTCCCTTCGGGGATTTTCAACACCAAGCTCAAATTCAAGTCCAAAACATGCCAAATCTCACCAAATACAACAAAATGACTTGAATCAAAGGAATAGCCAAGCAATGACACACATGAACCCTAATAACAAACTCCTAGATATGCATTTTCACAAGACAATGCATCAACACTCACATTTCATAGCAAAATCACATGTTGAATCCAATAAATCATTATATAGGTAAGCAAAATAGATTTTGTAGAGAATGGGTTACCTCTTGAAGACAAAACCTTCACTTAACACTTCTCAAAGCCCCTAACAAGGTTCACCTTCCACACCCACTTCAAGAACACACCAAAAGATCATAAAGATTTCATCTTTAGGAAAAGATACCTTAGAAAACACTAAAAACACAAAAGGAACATAGATCTTACCCTCCTAGATGCTCAAGAGTAGGAAAGGTGGAATCTTGGAGACAAACTTTGAAGATCTTGGAAAGCCTAAACTTAGCTTGGAGAGAAAGCTAGCTAGGTTTTTAGAGAGAAGGAAGAACTTTTAATTTCAAAGTGTTAGGAGAAAAATGAAAGATGTCTTCTAGGTTAGCTTGGAATACAATCATAAGGGAAATGTCTTCTTTACCCTTACTAAGATGAAAAAGTGTAAAGGAACAATGGAACTATTCACAAAGCTTTAGGTACAGCATCTTGACTTGGGTTGACTAGTCAATTACTAGTCCCCGACTATTAAATTTTCAGGAATTTAATGAATTAAATTACCAATTGGATTAGGATTAATTACTTAATTAATCCCTAAATAGAATCCGAATTTACGGGGTGTCACATCCTCTCCCCCTTAAAAGAAGCTTCGTCCCTGAAGCTTGGGTAAGACGAATTAAAATAAACGTTGAAACAAAACAACAATGTGATAACAGTGTCAAGAACATCCCTTTTTGGTCAAAACTCAAAGGATTCAAAAGATATCAAAAGCAAGTAAGAAGTCATCTCATTGCAAGGATTGAAGAATTAACCAACGGAGATATCGAGCTTAACGAACTCTAAACCACACACATCTACCAACTTATAACCAACACCAAAGATCTAAACAACTAACTCCTAATTAGACCTGGCAATTATGTACACGACCCGTTAACACGACACGAAACCGGACACGAAAATAACGGGTTAGTGTTTAGCCTTAACATGTCCCGGGTCGTTAACGGGTTGACCTGTTAAGGACCCGTTATGTTTTGTGTCTTAACGGGTCAACCTGTTAAACCTATTAAGAACCCGTTTAACCCGTTAATATTATCGTGTTAACCCGTTTACACGAACCCGTTTACACAAACCTGTTTAGAACCCGCTAAGAACCATTGTCATGAATGAGATTACAAAAGATATCATGAACATGAGTACATGACTAAGGATGAATTTACTACATTAGGCTAAAATCATACACCAATTATTGACGTTCAACAATATGAAGTTTTAACTTTTATTGTGTTCAATTTTATTCTAAAACTAGGCATGGACTTCTTTAATTATGATTTTTGGATATTATTTTATTATTTTATGAATGTTATAAATTGAATATTTTTTTAGTTTGTTTGATTTATTTAATTGTAGGTTTTATTTCTTTTATATATAACTTAACTTTAAATTTTAGTTTTTTTTTTAATATATTAATAGGTTTAGTGGGTTTAAACGTGTTTTGTGTCATATCGTGTTGACACGAACCGAAACCTATTAACAAAACGTATCTATCGTGTCAACCCGTTTAACCCGTTAAGAAATCGTGTTCGTGTACGTGTTACAAATTTGGACCCGTTAACCTTATCGTGTCGTGTTCGTGTTTAGCCTTATCGTGTTCGTGTCATTATCGTGTCGACCCGTTAACGAACCCGTATACACGAATTGCCAGGTCTACTCCTAATGCAAGCCACAACACCAACTACCCCAACCAAACAAGCAAGCAAAAACGAACACACAAAGCAAACAACAAGCAACTAGCAAACGGTGAAACGAGGTACCTGACGAGAACAACTCTGGATAACGCTCCCTCATGGTTGACTCCAGCTCCCAAGTCGCTTCTTCCACACCGTGATGCGTCCACCAAACCTTTACCATCTTCACTGCCTTCTTACGCGTTTCCCGGGTCTTAAAATCTAGAATCTTGAGCGACATCTCTTCGTAAGACATATCATCATCCAAAGGGATCACTTCCGGTGGTAGAACGTCTGTCGGGTCATGAACGTATTTCTTAAGCTGCGACACGTGAAAAACATTATGCACTCGCTCCAACTCCATAGGTAAAGCCAACCGATAAGCTAGATTCCCAATCCTCTCAAGTATCTCATAAGGTCCTATGAACCTGGGGCTTAGCTTGCCCTTTTTTCCAAACCTCATCACTCCCTGGGTGGGAGATATCTTCAGCCAAACTTTATCCCCAACCGCGAACTCTACTTGCCTTCTTGCCAAGTCGGCGTAGGACTTTTGACGATCTTGTACCGCTTTCATCCTTTCCTGAATCTGTTTAATCTTCTCCGCAGTGTCATGCAAAAACTGCGGGCCCAAAACTACCAGATTGACCAAATTCTCCCAGCACAACGGACTGCGACACTTTTGACCGTAAAGAGCCTCGTATGGTGTCATGCGGATACTCAAGTGATAACTGTTGTTATAGGAGAACTCTATTAGATCCAGGTGATCCTCCCATGATCCTTGAAAATCCAGCATACATGCTCTCAACATGTCCTCGATGGTCTGAATGGTCCTTTCCGTTTGTCCGTCTGTGGCCGGATGGAAGGCGGTGCTAAGATTCAGTTTTGTTCCCAAGGCTGCTTGCAAAGATTTCCAAAATTGAGATAAGAATCTTGGATCCCGATCGGAGACGATATCCCTTGGTACCCCATGATATTTCACCACCTGATTAACATAGGCTTGAGCCAACTGCGTCATTGACCACGTTTCCTTCATCGCGATAAGGCGAGCAGTCTTGGTAAACCGATCAACTATCACCCAAATTTTGTCCTTGCCGGTGCGGGTCACCGGTAGACCTCCCACGAAATCCATGGATATGGAATCCCACTTTCCTTGTGGAACTTCCAACGGCTGCACCAAGCCCTTAACCCTACAACGCTCTGCTTTAACCTTTTGACAATTCAAGCATCTACCCACGAACTCTGCTACCTCCTTCTTCATATTGGGCCACCAAAAGAGGTTCTTCACATCCTTGTATAATTTGTCGCCTCTGGGATGTACCGAGTAGGGTGTATTATGGCCTTCTTCCAAAAACTGACGCTTCAACCAATCACACGATGCAGGTACACATAAACGGCCTTCGTATCTCAACTCTCCATCCGTAGATAACTCAAACGGTCCCCCTCTTCCTTTGGCCAGGTCATCTCTTGCTCTCATTAAACTGGCATCCTTTAGTTGTTCCTCTTTGATCTCCTCCAAAAGTGTAGGTACGACCCTTATGTTGAAAAGACGGACTTCCGACTCAACCTCGCCTTGCTCCACCACTTCTTGGTTCATCCTTTGAAATTCCTTGCAAAGCTCGTCAGCCACTACCCAAATGGAACTAACGGCGTGTTTGGATTTCCTGCTTAGAGCGTCCGCCACAACATTCGCTTTCCCTTCATGATATTATATATCCAACTCATAGTCTTTGATGAGTTCCAACCACCGTCTTTGACGCATATTAAGATCCTTTTGCGTGAAATATACTTGAGGCTCTTGTGGTCCGTGAAGATTGTACAACGCACGCCGTACAAGTAGTGCCTCCAAATTTTCAAAGCGAAAACCACAGTTGCCAACTCTAAATCGTGCGTGGGTAGTTCTCCTCATGCACCTTAAGCTGTCGTGAAGCATAAGCTATCACTCTCTCATTCTGCATCAATACGCAACCTAGTCCTTTCTTGGACGCATCGTTGTATACTTCAAACCCTTCCGTCCCGGATGGCAAGATTAACACTGGTGCGGTCGTGAGCCTCTCTTTTAATTCCCGGAACGCTAACTCGCAAGCTTGATTCCATTGGAAGGGCATGTCCTTCTTTAACAACTTAGTCAATGGCTGAGCCACTTTGGCGAAATCCAACACAAACCTTCGGTAATAACCCGCTGAGCCACTTTGGCGAAATCCAACACAAACCTTTGGTATTAACCCGCTAACCCAAGGAAGCTTCTTATTTCCGCCACGGTTGTCGGCACAGTCCACTCCTTCACCGACCGAATCTTATCCGGATCCACCGAGATGCCTTTGCTATCGATCACATGAACCAAGAATGCCACACTATCCTTCCAGAATTCACATTTCGAGAGCTTGGCATACAACTGCTTTTCCCTCAGAATCTGGAGTACTGTCCGAAGATGCCCTACATGCTCTTCCTTATCCCGAGAGTACACAAGGATGTCATCGATAAACACGATTACAAAATCGCCGAGATGAGGCTTGAACACCCGATTCATCAAATCCATGAATACTGCGGGGGCGTTTATCAAACCGAACGGCATCACCGTGAACTCGTAGTGTCCGTAACGAGTCCTGAATGCGGTCTTAGGAATGTCCCTATCTGCCACCTTCAACTGATGATATCCAGATCTTAGGTCAATCTTAGAAAACACTCCGGCGCCTCGGAGTTGATCAAACAAATCGTCAATCCGCGGTAGAGGGTACTTGTTCTTGATAGTGACTTGGTTCAGCTCACGATAGTTGATGCACAGCCTCATGCTCCCATCTTTCTTCTTTACAAAAAGCACCGGCGCTCCCCACGGCGACGTACTCGGCCGGATGTAGCCTTTGTCTAACAACTCCTACAACTGGGTCTTCAACTCCTGCATCTCCTTGGGCGCTAACCGATAAGGAGCTTTTGATATAGGCGCCGTACCGGGTACAAGATCCACTGAGAATTCGACTTCTCTCGGAGGAGGCATTCCCGGAATCTCTTCGGGAAAGACATCCAGGAACTCGCACACAACGGGTATGGTCTGAGCCACATCCCCTTTCGCCTTCAGGTTTTCGACTGAGCACAAAAAGATCTCATGGCCTTTCTCCACGTACTTTTTCATCTTCAACATCGACACTAACTTGATTCCCGGTCCCTCCGTTGATCCTCGGTAAGACACTATCTTCCCACTTGGCCCTCTCAAAACCACTTTCTACTCACCACACAAGATTTGAGCTCGGAACTGCCCTAGCCAATCCATGCCCAGGACCACATCTACCCCGTCCAGGCCGAACTGGATTAGATTACTGGAAAACTCTTCTCCACCGATGACTATCTTAACGTCTTTGAAGAGACGGTCGCAGGTTTTAACTTCTCCGGATGCCACCTTAACACTTAGATTCACTCCAACGCCTTCGGTTAGGCCTAGCTTCTTCACGAGTCCCGGAGATATGAACAAGTTGGACGCTCCGAAATCGAACAAGATTACCGCTGGGACAGCTTGCACCAGGAAAGTCCCGATTACTACATCACTGTCCCCCGCTCGAGCCTCGCTTAGGATGAGGATCCTCTCTTGTGATGACTCTTCCGACGAACTCTGGGTTCCCAACCCATTACTCCTTCTTAGATCACAAGACGTCGGCAAGGTAGCTGCGCTGGGTCTTATCCGAGTGCACGTGCCACTTCGATTCCACTGTTCGACCACGCTAGGAGTGTTACTAACTCCCGTCGTTCTGGGTCTCTTAACCATATCACCCACATCTTCGAACGTCGTGGTACGCTGACGGGGAGGCATCGTAAAACTTCTACAACAACAACACTGTTACAAACAAAGCAACAAGCAAGCAAACAACTGAAAACAACACACAGCTCACCGCGCGTCCTAAGAGTCCTAACCTTAAACACTTTGATTCTTACGGTCGCTTAGGGTCTCAAACCACACTTAACCACTTAGAAGTCTAGACTTTATCATCCTAGGCTCAAACCTAGGCTCTGATACCAACTGTAACAACCCCGATTTCCAGGCCATTTTAAACTTAAACATGCAGATAATCTAACCATAATATAAGCATACACAGCGGAAGTCTTAACTATATAAAAGCTGGAAAACTAAGAGTGTTATGCCACGTCCACGCTAAGGTGAACGCACAAGCGAAAACAACATCCACATCATCAGTCTAAAGGAACAAGGTCAAACCATACACAAGTCTAAAATCCAACATAGAAGGCACACAGGCCTAAAACAAACTACAAAGCCTAAGGGATCTATACTATCCATTACAAGATCGCGCTCGTCACTACTTGGAACCTGAAAAGCACATAGATAAATGGGACGACGCCCGGTTAGCGAATAATGCTGGTAACCCACCAATACATGTCAATAACATATATAGATAGATAGTTCATTTGTAAAATCATTTCGAAACGGAATACTGTATATATAAGTTTCAAAGCCAAGGATAGAAGTCAACCACAAAACTATACACCACTCTCAATAAGAATAAGGGAACACATCTCAATACAACAAGAAGTAAACAACGTCAACATAAGAAAGACTCAAGGTGTATTCTACCATCACTTAGCAGAATATCACCCGACATACTCAACACAAGAGAATAAGACACATATTGGCAACACATGCTTTCGCGACATCACTCGTCACGAATAGTGAATTACACAACGGCAACACTTGCCTTCGTCACATCACCCATCACGAATTGATATGCCTTCCTTATGCCCGGTTCCAACCTTATGGCTACCCCCAACCTTATAGCTAGTTCCAACCTTTACCTCCAAGACCCCTGTACTTCTGAGTCCAACCTTTTCTCTCCTAGGACCGCCGTCCCCCACCAACGACCACCAAAAATTCCACCAATTCATAGTACACGAGGGTATCGATCACACACTTTGGCAACACATGCCTCCCAAGAAAACGTGAACCCATCACTCAGGTCACAAATTCCATAATCGCGTCATGGCCACCACGATGACCACTGCCGTACCTTGGTGACTAATGTCGCATACCATTAATCGTGCAATCCAGGTACAGCCACACACACAGCACCATCATAAGAATCAATCAACAAATCACAACGAAGATATGAAACTATACTCAACAAGAGAAGGATCACAATCCGACCACAACGATGATTAACACAAGTCATCATCCACAATAGGAAAAAACAAATCACACACGCTAGCATTTAGACACCAAACTAGCATGCTTACCAAACAGGTAAACTAAACATAGTTCCAAAGAACACACAAGACTCATCATGGTTCAACGAATCACAAGGTTGAACACTTAGCACGATTCAAGACACCAAAACCTACATGGAATCCTACCATATAGTTCTAGACATACGAAACATCAAGAAGACACTCAAATAGTTCCACAAAAGAACATCGGGAAGTCAAAAATCAAATACCGAGTCAAAAGAATCACGGGGAACAAATCCTCGCACAAGCCAACATTGTACCCGCGGGTGGGGCCACGGGTGGACCCCCAACAATGGTTCCGCCCGCGGGAACACACTCCCACACACCAACGTACCCCGCGGGTGGACCCCTACCTGCCGTTCCGCCCGCGAGTACAGCCTCTGTACCAAAAAGTCCCTTCGGGGATTTTCAACACCAAGCTCAAATTCAAGTCCAAAACATGCCAAATCTCACCAAATACAACAAAATGACTTGAATCAAAGGAATAGCCAAGCAATGGCACACATGAACCCTAATAACAAGCTCTAGATATGCATTTTCACAAGACAATGCATCAACACTCACATTTCATAGCAAAATCACATGTTAAATCCAATAAATCATCATATAGGTAAACAAAATAGATTTTGTAGAGAATGGGTTACCTCTTGAAGACAAAACCTTCACTTAACACTTCTCAAAGCCCCTAACAAGGTTCACCTTCCACACCCACTTCAAGAACACACCAAAAGATCATAAAGATTTCATCTTTAGGAAAAGATATCTTAGAAAACACTAAAAACACAAAAGGAACATAGATCTTACCCTCCTAGATGCTCAAGAGTAGGAAAGGTGGAATCTTGGAGACAAACTTTGAAGATCTTGGAAAGCCTAAACTTAGCTTGGAGAGAAAGCTAGCTAGGTTTTTAGAGAGAAGGAAGAGCTTTTAATTTCAATGTGTTAGGATAGAAATGAAAGATGTCTTCTAGGTTAGCTTGGAATACAATCATAAGGGAAATGTCTTCTTTACCCTTACTAAGATGAAAAAGTGTAAGGGAACAAGGGAACTATTCACAAAGCTTTAGGTACAAAATCTTGACTTGGGTTGACTAGTCAATTACTAGTCCCTGACTATTAAATTTTCAGGAATTTAATGAATTAAATTACCAATTGGATTAGGATTAATTACTTAATTAATCCCTAAATAGAATCCGGATTTACGGGGTGTCACATTAAAAATGACTAGAATACCCTTAACATAACAACGGTTGTGGCTAATTCCAGTGGGTTGGTTGGGTTCTTGGTCGGATGGGACCAAATCTGGAAAAAAATAAAAAGTTGAGCACTTATTATGTTCGGAATAAAAGTCATGAATCTCATTTGTCACCACAAGTAAAGTCGAGGAACCAAAAGTGGAAAAAACTATCATAAAAATGGAATTAGTTGGATGGAACATGCATGTGCCATTACTTTTCATTAAAAGAAATAGCATTGTTTTGGACCATGGTCTACAGTAAAATTTACCAAACATAAAGGAAAATTATTGTGTGGGTCATGATCCATACAGTGCTATGTGAATCCTAACAAAAAAGTACATTTTTAATATACTAAAAGTACATTATTTGTATATTGTGTGTACATTATTCAAAATAATGTACTTTTAGTACTCAAATAATGTACTTTTCATGATTACAATATACATTTTTAATATACTAAAAATATATTATTTGTGTACTGAATGTATATTACTCCCTCTGTCTCTAATTGTTTGTCACATTTACTTTTTGCACTGTTTTTAATGCGACATAACAAATGTTATTAACTTTCAAATTTTGTCCCTCAAAAGTAGGTTTCATTTGTACAAAGTACAATTGTACTTACCTCATTAGTTGTCTAGAAATTTGAAAATTTTAAATGGACAAATTGAGAAATGTAGTATGATAATTATGTTCAATTTTGAAATATGACATTATTTTGAGACAAACTAAAAAAAAAAAACGTAAGACAGTAAAATGAGAAGGATGAAGTATCTGATAGTATGGTTGTGTGTACCATGATGATTGAATTAGAAAATGATCAAACAAAAGATTTTTAAATAATACGGAGTATCTTATTGGGCTACCTCTCCTAGAATCATCATCATCCAATCGTTATACCATGCACCACGGCGCATATAGCACTGTACATCCCGCACCTCTCAAAACAACGTCGTTTTTGTAAGTTATGTAGGGAGTTACATGATTATGTGTATTTGTTTATACAATTATGTGTATTTATTTATACAATTAAGTCAATTATGTACATTTTTTTATACAATTATGTACATTTTTTTTATATAATTATGTACATCTGAAACAAGAAATTTATGTGTATTATATTAAGAGTTTATGTGTATTATGTTAAAATGTTATGTGTATTATGTATTATGTTATATTATCTGTATTATCTTTTAAAAAAAACTATGTGTAAAAAAAAAAAAAAAAAAAAACAACTTAAACAACGTCCTTTTGCATCAGGATGCACGATGCAATGCGCGCACACCATATAAATATCATCATATCTCAAAAGAGTTTTTTACACTTTTAG